TCTTCTTGAAGAATAAAGAAAATAAACAGTATTTCATAGTTCCCCTGCATTTTTCTTTTCCAATGTAGTGCACATGTAAACTAAAATCTAATTTTATATGATTTCATCTTTAAAAAAAATAATTCTCAGTTTAATTGTGATGGTTAATGTAGCAGCAGTAGTACTTGTGTACCATGTTATGTAGGGACTGTGTATTCATATTTTATTAAAAGGGCTATAAAGAGAATGTGCCTTTGTTTTCTGCACAAAGACTAGAATGTAGTTAAGTCGGTTTTAAAACTATTCTATGTGTCAATTTAAAAAAAAAGCCTCTAAGAGTTGTTGTCTGGAGTCAGGTTAAATTAACATGTGAGAACTATATCACAAAGAATTTTAGTTAGAAGGTTTTAGAATATTTGAAACCAGTGTCTGCTGTTTTGAACTGAATATACTTGGTGTTTATATTTGAAGGAGAAAAACTTCTCTGAAATAAAGTTAGTAAAAGTATTTTCTTTGGAATGAGACAAACTTGGTTTTAAGGAGTAACAGAATCAATAAATGTTCAGAAAGAAGCTTCTTCGCCTTTCTCGTGTAGGGAAAATTCAGTAATGGAAATGCATAGGTCAAGCCAAATAGTACATTTTAAAACACAGGTTTTCATTTTCGCCCTCAGATCCTGGAGAAAGCTTTCCATCAAATTCCCTTTTGGTTTTTGTCTTTCCCCTTTATTAGGCTGATTTTGTGAAAATTGCTCACCCCGAGCCAGCATTCAGAGAGGCGGCGGAAGAAGCCTGTAGAAGTATTGGCACCATGGTAGAGAAGTATGTGCCGTTCCCTCCGTTCCAGTGTCGGGTGACATGATTTCACAGACTTGTGCCATGGCAGTTTTGTCCATAGTGCTCCCAGCAGGGTGGGAGATGGGGTGTGAGCAGAGGGAGGGCTGAGGGGCAGGCCATGACCACTGGGGCTTGGGGCTAGATATTTATTGTTCTCTCAGTCTGTTCCTTGTCTGTAAATGGGGTAATCAAGTTAACGCTGTGTCTTAGGGTCACTGTGTGGATTAAATGAGGCAGATGCGAAGGGATCATACAGTGTCAGGCACCTAGCAAACACCCAGTGTCCCTGTTATCGTCATTATTGTTTACCTTAAGGGAGGGCTTTTTCATGTTAGTAGCAAGCTGAAGTAAGTAGATTATCGCTTGATTAAATTGCCATTGCACTGATGGCTGTGGGCCACAGGGCGAGAAGCCAAAATGGTACATGCACACAGTGCCCGTGCAGTCCCTGTGAGTTGGGATTAGGAGAGTCTGGGGAGACCATAAAACCCTGTGGGAGGGCCAAGGCAGGCTGCTGGCTGAGGCTATGATGGAGTGGGGTATTTTAAAGTGATTCTGAGGTAAATGTAAATGTTTTTAAGCCGTTTACGAGAGCTCCATAATGCTTGTTGAAATAACTTTAACGGTGGGCAGTACTATGTTCCAAAGCACTTAGGTGCATGGCACCATGCCAGGCAGAATGGAGAGCTGGGGAGAGCCCAGGCTTGCCTGGCAGGAATTTACTGTGGGCAAGACTATTTCAGACACCGGAAGTTGGAGGAGGAGGAGGGTGCTGGCCTTCTCTACTTAGATGTGGCTTCCTGGAAGACGGGCAGGATCTTCCAGCTGCTGCTTTTCCCTGGGTTGAGCAGCATTTGCTCACTTTGGCACAATCCGTGTGACTTTTCCCATAGTCATTGAAAGTCAGCTTGAGGAAAGGGATAAGACTCTTTTTCACAGTGCAGACACTGGGCAAGCTGCAGGTGCTGGACCTGGGGACCCCTTGGGAGAAAGAGTGAGTCAGAGTGACCGTGCTGTGAGCACTGTGCCCTGCCAAATTTAGGTGCAGGTCTAATGGTGAGCACTCTTGATTTTGTGGGAAGAGGGCAGGGAACCACAGTTGATAGTGATGTGGTGTCGGGAGCGTCTGTGATCTCCATGAAGAGCGTTTCAGTCTATTGAAAGTCAAGTCCTAAGCCAGCGTGCATAGCCTCCCCTAAGCTTTGCTCTCTTTCCTCTAAGCGCTGTGCCACATGTTTTCCTTCTGTCTAACCGAATCATACCTTAACTAACTTGTTCAGCTGATGTTTGAAAAGTCAGGATGATTTTAGGTACACATGGAAAATTGATTTATTTTCCAATAGTAGTGGAAACAAAGCCTAAAATTAGGTGCAGTTGTTGAGAATTAATGCCAAATGTAAACTAAGGTATAGACTTTATCTCAGAGTCTTCCATCATAAAACGTAGTGGGAGATGTGCCTACGTTTCTGGAGCGGGAGCACTGCGGGCCACCTCTAAGCTGCTGTCCTGCTGCCGTGGTGAGGCTCCCTGGGCGAGCAGGTCGGGAGGAGGCGGGTACCATGCTCACTTTCTCCCTGACTCCTGGGATCCATGCCTGGGAGCCTGGCCCTTCTTGGTGAGTGTTTTTTGGTTGGTGGGGACTACCTCAGTTCCCTTGGTGTTCTAGAAGGCCCCTGAGAACAGAGGCAACAGAAGCCCTTTGATTTATATAAAACTTCAGCTTTTTGATTGTGAACTGGGGAACCGGACCATACTTGAGTTCCTGAGTAGAAGGAACTGGTGGATACTTCTTGTCCCTCCCTGAGGGTCCACCAGGCCGGGGATGGATTGTATCTAAACCCAGCTCACTGTTCGGCTCCAAGTTCCAGGGCTTTTCGGCATCTTTTGAGGAAGGACTGGATTCCTGCCAGGGATCCTGGGGATCTGGCTGAGGCCAGTGCTCAGCTGTGAGCCCTGTGCTCCTCAGCTTTGGCTAAGGGCAGGCCGGCATCACCGTCTACCAGTTGCTGTGGCTCATTTAATCCTCATGGCAACCTAACGTCTAAATCACTTGCCCAGGGTCCTGGGGCAGTAGCAGGGCCAGTCTTGCATCCTGGGCATGTGGCTCCAAAGCTGTGTCTTGAGCTCTCCTTGATGGCATAGGCCAGCCACTGTCACCCACGTGAGCACAGCTAGCCCGTGTGCTGGGGTGCTGAGTTCAAGACTGGAAAATCTTTGTGTTTGTTCATCCTCCCTCCCATCTTCACTCCTTTCCTTTTATTAAAAAAACCACACAAATGGCCATTGGCATTTTGATAAAGGGAACTAGCTCTCAGATCACCAGTAACTATATTCCTCCCCTCCCCTCTTCTCTGTCTGCTCTTCCTGCCCCAGCTGTTGACTGTGGATTTAAATTTATCTGTCACCTTCCAGAATAGTTAGTACCTTGACACTTTTTCTAACAGGCTGCCTGTCCCTGTACTGAAAAGTTCAGTTTCTAAGAATGGTTATGCTATTCCTGTTCCAGATGAAGAACTAAAAAAACCACTCTAACTTTTGGCCTCTGGGAATGTGTATGCTATAATTGATACCATTCTTTCGATGTAAAGTTAGAAATAAGGTATTAGGAAATAATTTAATTTTTTTATTTGTAATTTTTCTAGGTTGAACACAAATGTGGAATTATATCAAAGTTTACAAAAATTACTAGCTGATAAAAACCTTGTGGATTCCCTCGATCCAGAAACCAGGTACTCACTCATTTCTTTGCATTGGTTATGGCTGTGACTCCAGAGGTGAGGTTGGAAGACTCCCCCCAGGGCCTCTGTACTTGTAGGCCCGCGTCTGGAACGTTCTTCCCCGGGTATCTACATGACACCTGCACTTTCTCTAGGAGACCACTCGAGTGGTGTCTCCTCCGAGATCTTTCCACCAGGTCACACTCCATCCTCTTACCCTGATTTAGTTTTCTTCATAGCCCTGATCACTGCGGGCATTATGTTATCTATTTGTTACTTTGTTTATCACCTCTGTACCTCACTAGGCTGCAGGCTCCTTGAGGGCAGGGACTTGGTCTGTTGTTCACTGCTGCATCCTCAGCACCTCCAGCGTTCATAGCATGTGATAAGTGCTTCACCAAGGAATGAGCTCCTATAAGCAGTTGATAATTACACTTAGCTGTGTGCTCAGAGTTCCATAATTGATACCATCAGAAGACATAAGCAAATTGCTTTTATTTACTGGGTGGATGTCAAGATCCTTGTAATGATTTGCTTTGGTTCATTAGATTGGCGGTCCCCAACCCCTGGGCTGCAGTCCGGTACCAGTCTGTGGCCTTGCTAGGAACCAGGCTGAGCATCACTGCTTGAGCTCCGCACCACGCACCCCTCTACCCACTCCCAGTCTGTGGAAGAACTGTCTTCATGAAATCAGTCTCTGGTGCCAGAAAGGTTGGGGACCACTGCATTAGATTACATTTATTAATCTAAATTGAAAGGGCCTAATTTTTAAGTCAATACATAAGAATATTTGATTTGGACCTTGGATATCTCATTCCTTTGCTAAATTTATTTATTTATAAAATAAGTGCAGTAGAGTTTGTCATTAAGCTGCCTATAAAATTTTCATGTCATCACATAGAGATTAATTTGTTTTTCTTACCCATTCATACCTGTTTATCTGTTTTTTATTTGTGGGACACTTCCTTTGTCAACTTGACTGTCCCTCCTCCTGCTTCCTTCTCCTCTTCTGTCTCCATATGGGACTTGTGACCCCAAGTGAAGCCCTGTTCTACAGGTTCCAGTTAATCAAATCTTGCTATTTATCTAATATGTGCATACCATGCCATACAAGTAGCACAGTGAGGTTCAGTTTTTGAGGGGTTATTTTCACCTGACTGGCAGGTGTGCAGGTACCTTGTCTCATTTCATTTCCTAGACCTTGATGCTCAGGAGACTAGCAAGGCTAGCTGTGTCATCAGAGTAGTTACTTTCATTATAAGTTTAGGCTTGGGCGTTATATTGCCTTCATTAGCAAAGCAAGCAAAAGTTGAATGCCTATTAATTGTGCCAGATTTATACTCAGCTGGTACTGACAACAACAAAAAATGTTGAAAATAAGGTTATTCGTAATCTGACTTTACTAAAGATTGACATTTCCATGTTTACGTGTAAAAATTATAGAGGACTAGCAGACTATTTTAGATATAAAGGACTTGTACTAATAGGATACATACTACATTTCTAGATGTTACTAAAAATGCCAATAGGAATTTTTAAGCAATGAGATGATAAATACATTGGGAAAAAGAAACTCAGTAGAATAGCAATAGTCTATAAAGGAAAAGCAATTTGGAAGAAATGAATTTGAAATAATAATTATTGAAATACGGCAGTTGTACATCATCAAGATTGTTGGCTAGCACCCAGAAAGAACTATATTTTAGAACTTTGTATATGGTAAAGTATAAGACAATGGCTAAAACAAGGAATTGTAGGCTTAATAAAGTATCTTTTCTGATAAGTTAATATACAGAAGTAATGGTTTAAATTGAGTTACTCATCTTATTCTTAGACACAATCCTTGAAATTCTAGTTCATGAGATGTTCAGAAGTTTTCTCAGAAGGGTTCCCTTGGTCAATAAGTTTGGAAAAATGATATATCAATATATTTCTCCCCTTGGAGAATTTTAGTAGTTTAGGGTCTCTTAGAAGCCTAGTCATAAAAAAACCTGTTTAACTTGGGGTTTTCCAAAACCATTACGAGCTTTCATGCATGCAAACAGTATAACAAATACACTCTCCAGAAAATATAATGGAGGGGAAATCCCAGTCACAAGAACAACAAAAGCTGTAATAGACATTGGAATAAACTCAGGAAGGCAATGAGTGCAGAACTTAATGCACACGCATACCTAGGAAGCATGAAGGTTACAGAAATGGAGAAACACTGTATTCTTAGAGAAGAAAGAAGAAAGGTCAACAGTGGTCTCTTCCAGTCTGTAGGTTTAATGCTATCCAATCCATATCTAAATATTTTTTTGTTAATAGTTAAAATGACATCATAGAGAATAAATATGCCACAATAGGTAGGAAAAATCTGATAAAGAAAGTAATAAAAATGACTTAGAGAGTAAACATATTGTAAAAATACTCTATTTAAATAACATTATACTTATGCCAGAATAGTTAATTTGATCAATGAAAGAATAGGACAATTTCAGATACTGACACAGATATATATATTTAGTTTGTGATAGAGGTATCATTTCATATCTGTAGGGAAGGACTTGGTTTTCACTAAATTTTGTTAGCCCAATGGAGAACCATTTTTTTTTTTTTGGCTTTATCTTGAACCAATCTTTTATTCTTCAGAAATACTAAGGTAAAAGCTTAAAATATACCATATACAGGTAAAAAAAAAAATGCATGGTGGATAATAT